GCTGAAAGTTGCTCAGAATATTTTGATATTACGATTATACAAAAAAGGGAGGTCATAACATAAGTTAGCGTGGAAAGTCTGATTTTTCAGAGCTTTTCCCGAGCTACTCGGAATCTGTCAGACGATAGCCGTCGCATAGCTGTGTCACAACTACAAGTGTTATAACTCTGAAATAATCAAAATTAAGATCTGTTAACAATTGATAAGAAAATTTGGCTAACATGATAACTTAAAACATTCCAGAACAACAACCAGAATTGACAAGCAATATTATATCAGAACATAACAAAGACATAGTTTCACATAATATTTTTTAGAAAAAAATATTCATAGTCATGTATATGCTAAGGTGGAATATTTTTCTCAATCAACAGTTTACCAGATAAATTCATCTAATATCTTTCCCACAAGAATTCTAGGGGAGAAATGTTATGGAGTGTCTTAGGAGGTCTACTGAATTGCCATAAAATATCCTGGGGTTAATCAAGCAAAAGACTACCGATTTTTTTATTTTAATATATTTTATTTATACATTTAAGAAAAGGAGTGTGGGGGTGAGAATACTTACCAGAGACAGTGTGGAGCAGAAGAGGCAGACTGACTGAAATACACTGCTGAGGGGAGCAGCAGGTGAGACAGGAGAGGTCTGCCACTCCATGTGGGTCACCTTCCTGGCAATGGATCGAACTCTCTGCAGTGGCTGCTGAGAGCTTGATAGGGCTAAGATTTGATCCCTTGTATCACCAGGGAGGTCCACTACCAACTTTTTAAAGCTTAGGTTCCTGGGAAGTTTTATCATAAGTACTTGAGAAAATACTACTTTAATTACCTAACAGTTGGTATCAGAGTTCCAACTACACTCTACCAGCACAATGCCAGTAGAATTAGGACCTTCCCATATTCTTAGATCTCATTCCAAATGTAACAATTTTTCTTCTACTAAACCTTATTTTATTTCAATTCTACAACTGGAATTCAAAAACCTTTCATTTCCCAACCCCTATTTAACCCAAAGTTTAGACTTCAGCAATTCACCTCAGACTACCTTTTCTGTGCAGCATGTGCCCAACGCAAATCACATAGGGAAGGGGGAAAAATTATACTTCATGGCACAAATTCAAAGATATACATGCTTCAAAGCAAGCCATTAAATTCCAAATCAGTTTTCATTAACCAAAGTGAAATCTAAATTAGTTTTAAATTTAAGCAGCTACTGTGGATAGTTTGATTCCTGGCCAGGAAGGTGACCCATATGGCACACTAGACCTTTCCTATCTTGCCCACTGCTCCCCTCAGCAATGTTTCAGTCAGTCCACATGTTCTGCTTCCTACTCTGTCTCTGGTGAATCCTCTCACCTCTCACCATGACTGCACCCCCCTCCCCCACACACACATACCTCTGGCCTACACCCTGGCTCTTGTAAGTCTTAAATGAATAAAGACCAACCAGGTTCAAGCTTGTGTCAGTGCCAAAAGGGCTTCTGGTGTTACAGGTCAAGCTGGACATACTGGTGTAGTTTCAGGAAGTTATGAAGCTAGCATGTAGTTGAAAATAGGCCAACTTGGTTGGATCTTGACCAACACTGCTCAAACAACTGGGATTGTAAATGGGCCAATTCCATTTAAGCTCCCACAGGTGTAATCATGTACAATAA